TGAGCACCAGAAGTAGTAAGCCTGCTTTTTAGTGGATTCGTGCTTTATGGTTGAGTGACTTAGCTGAATTTATGCTAGGTCTGAATTCAACTCTTAGAGAATTCACGTAAGAAAAAGATGTTACGAACGCTTAAGTTAGAGTTTATACCTTATTATATGCTAGGGAATCTATTCCTCGGTTTCTCCCCAGTGTAGATCCTCTGGTGACTAATGAGGCACAAAACCTGATCAAAGATTTTTCTGCAGCTTGAGTAGTTGTAACATCTTCCTCTTCCTTGTGGAGTCTGAGTATTAATATGCAGTGAACACTCATGGTGCGCTTTGTCTCAATAATGATCTTGCTTTTCTTTTTGCAGACACTTTTCCCCTGGGAAATACAGGAAGGTAAAATAAATAAAATGCTGACGTGTTGACTGAAGTTGGTCAGTTATAATAGCAGCCTGATAACACAATGATGGCAGAAGTGAAAAATGAAATGCCCAATTACAGTTGGTCTTTCTGAAACTTCCCAGCCTGTACTATGCAGATAGCCTAGGCTGTGCAAAACATATTGCTTTTAAGGAGTTACACTTAAAACTAATGACATCCTAAGTGACAAGTACCCTCTTCCACTCCCTTCATACTTGTCCGTCTCTTCAGCATGATGTGTGAGAGCTGAGTTTGTTGGACAGTAGTAATTAGAAATAGATTTGGTCTGTGGAATTTGGATTTACTTTCTGGTTAAACTTAGCATTGTGGGATGCTTGTATATATGTTCCTGATGTCAGTTAATATTTCTGGAAGGAGCAGAAACCCCACTGTCTTTTAAAAATATTTATGCTGTCTTAAAGCTTGTGCTAAGTATCTTCATTTATGTTTGTATTCTCTCCCTTCCACCCCCATAACAATATATGATAAGGTTTCTAATGCTATGTGGGGTATAGAGTCTGAAAAATGAGTTAGAAATGAATTTCTCTACAATAAATACTTCCCACAGTGGAAGTTGTTATCCTAATGAACCAAATGCATCTCTTGCAGCTCTTTAAACATGAGCGTCTTTATAAAAGACAAGAATGAATGATCAGAAACGGTGATGTTCTAGTTTCTGGAGTTTTTATAGTTCACAAGCGCAACCTCTTTATTATAGCATTTGTTTCTTCTTCCCCTCTCTTCATATTTTGTGAGGCTAAAAAAGTCTAAGCTAAAGGACTAAATCTGAGCTCTTTTGAGAGAATTTCAAAAATGATATTCCAGGAAAAAAAATGTTGCAATTATACATGCTTTTATAATTTCCACTTAAAAAAAAAAAAAAAGTGTGTGTTTGTTGGGGGGGAACTAAGTACTTGCAGGCCTTTCTTCTGCAAGAAGCAGCAGTGGGAGGAATGAGATTGTTGCGGTTCTCGCTCTCTTCCCCTTCTCCCTCACCTTGGGGATGCTGTAAACGTTTGGCCAAATTATGTCTGATGCTGTGTTGTTTTCTGTGTGTACTAAAAAACACAGGATAAGGAATGAGCTTTCTCACAACAGTATGTTTCTTTATCCCTTTTTAGAAGTATTGTTTTTATGTAGCGAGTCTGTGAGAGTTTGACATTGGATGACTTTATAAAACATTCTACTAATTGGATTTGTTAAAATAAATAAATCAAACGCTAATTGGAACGTGCCCTGCCATTATTTTTGCTTACTGAATTAGATATAATGGCGTGAAGTCCTTTTTATCATATTTGTGCGCTTATTTAAACACCCCCCCGGCACGCACTTCTGCAAATTCAATTACATATTCAAAGGAGGCATTCAATTTATGCAAGGCTGGTTTACATTTAATCTGGGGGCAAGACTCAGTAACTGATGATAGGTCTGCTCAAGATTAATTAGCATCACTCAGATGAGCGGTGGCATTGTTATGAGCCTGCAGTGTAAAACAAGGGATGTTTTATCCTTCCTGTGTGAGCCGTTATTTGCTTCAGGATGACCTTTTTCAGGCAGGGAAGGATTTCTTTCTTGTTTGGGTTTCATTTTGTGAAAAGGAAGGGTCAACACCGCATGCATTATCTGACACTATCAAAGTCCTCATCATTTTCTTTTATTTTGCCCCAGTTAGCAACTCCGGTTTCCACTATTAGTTTTTAGCTGATTGATAGATTCCAAGATTCCCTTCTGCTTCCAAAGATCCTCACCCTTGTTAACAACTAATGAAGACATAGAATCCCCTATTGGTTATTGTGTGAACGTTTTTGTTTTCCTCAAAGCTACTTTGTGAAACTGTAGCTAAATTGTAACATGCAAACCTGGTATCTCAATTCATCGTGCAGTATCTTATCTTTCCCTCTCAATTTGTGGATTATTTTTTTCTGTTTGCTAATGAATAGCCCTGTCCTGCTGCTGAGCAGTTACGTTTCAGTGATGGATGATTATGCGTTAAGAGGGACCTTAACCTTTTTTTCTCTTTACTCCAGCGTATTTAGATGTAGCTCACATTAGGTATCCATATAGATGACGTGTTGTCTTAAGAGATTCCGAGTAATAAGCTTGCACTGACGGTGAAAAGAATACGTTTGCTGGTTTTAGCCTGCCTTCCCGTTTTGGACTTACTATTCCTACTTGAGTGGACACTAAAATCTATTAATGCCTTTGCAGATTAATCTGAAATTCGTTAGTGGAGACAAACTGAATTTCCAAGGATCTTGTTGCTAGATAATTGCATAGCAGACAAAGTGGATCGCACGATGTCACCATGTTAGCACTAAGCGTACCTGTGCAAGGGAAATCGGATTGCTCTTAATTGCACATCATATGTACCTTTATCCTATGTTTCCTTATTGGCTTGCTTATGAGCTTACTTTTCTGAACATCTACTTGAAGAAAAGAGCACTTTCGTTTACTGGGACAATGAAATTCCACAGAAAAGGCAGTATGGTATATTTTTTTCCTCAAATTCTTCCCCCTCATACTCCTAGGTTATCTTCCTTAAATCCAGGCTAGAGCTTTCAGTTTGGTCCTATTCAGAGAGGTCCATCTGAGAAGCCTTTATCAGAGCTGATCCCTGTGTGTTTCCCGGCCATGCATGCTGCCGGCCCTGGCAAGTCGCCGAGTTGCAGAGCAGAACAAACTGACCTGTTTTGTTGGAGGCAGTGCGATGGCAGAACTGTCACGGAGACGTGATCCGATTGCGGCAGTGTTGTGATGGTGCAAATGAGCATCGCTTAGCCTACTGGATTTTTATTTCAGGAAATAGCATGGGAAATAAGATCTAACTTGACTCGGAGGCTGGATTTCCAGATAGGAAGAGACATTTGCATTTTTGAAAAGCACAGCGGATGGTGAATTCCTGAGCTGAAGTTGGCATGGGATTTTCAAGACAGTGTTTCTGAATGTGGTTCAGTGACCTGCGATTGTAGCTAAAATGTCATGTCTGTCTCTTTCTGCGAAAAAAAGCTAGGACCTCAGACCACTTGCAGTATATTTGGTTTGTGGATTTGAACAAAGAACACTGTTAAACAAAGTTGGCCAAAATTCTGCAATATTCCTGGTGATGTGATTCATTCCTTGTGCTTTATGAAGTTTTTTCTCCCGTTACATAATATAGTGTATGCTGTATTAGACAATGCTCACAGAAGGATTGCAAGCTTTTCAGCACACAAGGAGTATAGCTTGCATTGGAAGTCTTTACTTTTAATTCTGCTCTCCTTTGACCCACATGGTAGCAAGATGTGGACAGAGGCTTTCTTCTTGTTAAGAGCCAAGATCTAACCTTTCCTTGCTTTCTGTGCAGCCTGTATGCTTGCCTAAACCCTTAAATTTGACCCAACCTTTTTCTCCCTATCCTCATTTCTTGCAAATTCACCTCTCCAAATTCAAATTTTGTTACTTCTGGTAAATTAATCCTTCTGGTTTATTACCTTGTCACTCTGCATTTGCGGGTTCTTCCACTAACTTTTCTTTTTAGAAATGTGGACATCTTGCTGCTACTTTCAAGGCTCTTCACACCTTACCTTTCTGCAAGGTCAATCTTGACTTTCAGACAAGGCACTTTCAAGCTTCCTTAGATAACTTTGTAACAGAAGTTTAACGAGTAGAGCAAATATAAAGGAAAATTATCAAAATTTGTAGATGTAATGAAGCTTCAGAAATGCGTGGAGGTAGCTCTGCTGAGATGAAGATGGCCAAGGTTGTAAGGATCATAAAATCTGCTGTATTCGGATTTATAAAATGTATACAATATATCAAAACTCTATATCGAAACTGAATTGCTATTAATATTTTAGGACAAGCTTCAACTTAAACTTCTCTTCAGTAAAACAGTATTTTTGGGTGTCAGGTACTTTATCCTACAAATCCCTCTAGTAAATACTTGATTAAGTTTAAGAAATAAGTTACTTGCTTTAAGTTTTTTAGAACTTACTGGAAAACTAATTGCAGTTAGAGTACGCATGAAGTCCTTTAATAGAATAAGAATTTAATTAATTATTTGAATTGTTATTTATTAAGGGTTCCATAGGAACTGAGACAAGTTTGGGCTTTCTTGGGGGCTAGAGAATAATAAAATATAAGTGAACACTGAAGAAGGCCTAAATGTCCCCTGTGTTGGGTGACCCTTATTGCAAAAGAGCCACACGTCACTTGTGTTCCAGCTGTTTATTGTGGATGTTCAGACAGTGCAGCCTGTGGGAAGGAGTAAAGAGTCAGGGACATCTCTGTGCATCTAGTTCTCCGATTAGTGTCAAGAGCAATTGGCAGTTTGGCTGGCAAAACAAGTTAATGTAGCCTTGAGCACTACTGAGTCCTTTCAACTCCAGAAGTGTTAGATGTGTCCAGCTGACTTTGGAGGACTAATATCTATGCAGAAAAGTTATCCTTGCTTCTCTGAGAGAGAAAACCACAGCAGTGCAGAGAGAACGTTGGCATGCTTAAGGTCTGGGCTCAAGGACCCCAGGCTGCCTTTTCTCATGCATTCAGTACTCGAATGGGTTTGGCAGCCCACGTTGGGTGGAGGTGAAGAGGAATGTGCCCGAGGCAACGTCATGAGTACTTGCATAGGACTGATTATTCTACCAGAGGCTAATCCCAACCAACTTGATTTTTATGTGTGAGACAAAGTTTTTAACCTCTGTGCTGTAGTACAAAATTTCATCCCATTGTTCGTGGGTTTCTCTTGATTAACAAATGTTCAGGCAGCTGCAGGTTATTTATGATATTTAACCACTTCCAAGTATGGCAGGAATTGCAGTAGGAAAGATCACTTAGTCAACAGCTTGGGATGCGTGGATTTGCCTTCCCCTTGTTGTTCTCTCATTATAAACGAAAGGTTTCCACTCCAAAGTACTGTAGACCGTAAGGACAAGTTATTGCCACATGAAGCTTCATGTTATTATGTGTGAAAGATGACTGAGAGGAATATAACCCAAGCTTGTGTAATTCAAGGTTTAAAAGTGAAATGTAGTGAAGATTTTGCTGCAAGAACAATGAAACTGTGCTTGTGTGTTTACCACATGGGTTACTTCTTCCTCCTTTTTCGAATATCTGGCTTGAAGTTTTCTGTACTTAAGAACCAGTTACTGAGACCCAAACTGAAATATTTATTCACATGCTCATCATGCCTAACTATGCCTTAAAATTTTAAGGCAATAGACTGAATTAAGCCAACTGATCTAGGGAACAGTAGCATGGAGGGAAGAGAACAAAGGCTTCTAAAGGATTCAAATGGCAAAAGATTCCAAAAAAAAAAATTTTCTGGATAGCTTTCAGGCAATTTCTCCCTGCTGCCTGAAACCTAATATGCTGGAAAATCATTTTATTATCATTATTTCCCCCCTCCCCCCTTTGGAAACTTGAATACAAAATACTGATGTAAATGAACTAACATAATGAGACAGAAATAATTAATAGAAGAATGTATTCGTTTTTCTTGTCTTTAGGTGGTTGTTCATTTGATGAGCACTACAGTAACTGTGGATATAGTGTGGCTTTGGGGACCAATGGATTTACTTGGGAGCAGATCAATACCTGGGAAAAGCCAACAATGGATCCTGCTGTTCCAACGGGTAAGTAGGATGCCTCAACAACAGGGCAGAATTTTTAATATGTCACTATTTGTGAGAATCAACTATTAGCTCGTATGAGACAGGGTTTTATTCAGGGCTACGAAACTGAATTTTGTATTCTAAATAACGTGACAACAGAGTTCATAAATGTGAGATTGCTTTTTACAGTATCTATCGCTTGATGTCATTGAGAAATCATTTTATCCCTTGTTCCTATTTTATTTCCACATTCAAGAGAGAGAAGATGATTATTTTAGGTAAAACACGCTAAGGTTTGGCCAGCCTTTGCATGTTTCAGAACTAGGGTCACAGAGCTCTCTTTTTCTGGGGAGACAAGTGCTCAGGAGGTCAGAAAAAGTAAAGCTTTGAGACCTCTGGGAACACTGGACCCTGCAGTTAGCACTGAGCTCTTAATTGATTTGCTTTAAGTCCTAATTCTGAGAAAGATAAGAAAACTTCAAAAGAATTAACTTAGTAACCAATGTCTTAGTATGCTGGGATTTCAGATCCTGGAGTTTTCATATGTAAGAAAAATATTTCCAACAGAGGGAGTTACCAGAATATCTAAGTTGCTAACATGCTAACATTTATTGAGAACATCCATATAATAATCTTCCACAAGATACTTGAAATATTCTCTGGAGAGCTTCTGGTAATGATTGCTTCTGGAAGTTTTGTTTCTCATTGGAAATTAATATTATGCTGTGATATGTTTGGGAATAAATTCTCTGTCCTTACTAATATGCTGTGGAATGCTCTGTTCACATTGAAAAATAACTTGTTTTTTAGAAAGTACACCGTGATTTTCTGAAAATCACAGTTTACCTGCCATCTTTGCCACCTAAAATAAGACAGCAAGCCCTGTTAAAGTGATTTATATAATTGGAAACAGAACTGACCAGTCAGTTAAGATTTTGATTTCAGTTCTAAGAAAGATGGATTTATTTCCAGTTAGTGCATGCCACTCTGATGAGCATGAGCTAAGTCACAGAATCAACATGTATAATGCTCAAGAGGTATTTCTACACCTGTAATTCCTGGGATAAGAGATGTGAAATTGCTAAGTGCCTGTTAAGGACACCATGTATATGTGATAGAGCAGCAACTCCCTGTTGTAGCCATTGGTTGAGAGCCCAGTCTTCACTCCTGTATATTAAAACTGTTAATAGAAAGCTAGCATGCAAGGTACCAGGCTTCACTGTAGTTTCTCCATCAGCAATGGTCAGTTAAGCTTTGTTATTACAGCTTAGATTGGAAACTGTTCAGAGCAGGACCTTTCAAAGTGTGTAACACCTTGCATCACTTGATCTGGCCCTGCTGTCTTAAAGCAAGCTAATTGTGAAAGTTAATAACTACTGTTTTCTGGTCTCAGCTTTATTCATTCCAGATGTGTTGCCTTCTTAATGAGGGCATTTTTGTCCCAGCAGTTCCTTAGCATCCTGCCACCTTTATCGCTTTCACTAGTACACCTTGCTAGGGAGACAAGATAGATCATTTAAGTTAACTTGTCTCAGAATGATCTGAAGGAACAAGAACACGCACGGCTTTGGGGCAAACTGGAAGGCAAGAAATAAATGAAAGGGCTTGTATGGCTTAGACTGGAGGAGTTCAATGTCAACTCTAAATGTTAGTGTAAGCTTCTCTTCAGACACCTGGGGACAATATGAGAGTGTCTTACTGTCCTAAGCTCACTGGAACCATGGAAAAATAACAGAACAGTCTAGCTAGAATGGCATAGTGAAAAACAAATAAACAAACAAGACTGCTCCATTCTGTCGTATCCTGTAGCACTAATAATTAAATACATAGTGGTCACAGAGCAGTTGTGAATTTAATAAAATTGGACATACAATAAGAAATGTAGAAAGTTTTATTGTGTACTTAGAAAGATGCAACAGGTGAAGCTGCCAACCACTTGGAATATGCTGATAAAGAAATACTACCTAAGGAGACTTTAAGGAGTTTGAAGGGAAATGACTCAGTTCCTCATGTTAGCAAGACTATTCATGTAGAGCAAAAGGCAGAATGGTAGATAGAAAGGGGAGGGAAGACTGACCACAGCCAATGTGTACAGATAGCTCCAGTAGCAAGCATATGCTCTCAAAGACTATCTACGTTACACTAAACTTGAAGTAAATTATCGTGGTCAATTAGACTGCCTCAAGCTAGAAGATATGCTAGAGCTATTATTGAGAATCTGTATTGCTGAATAGAATCTTAATGCATTTTATTTGTATTGGTTACTCACTGCAAATCCGTTTGGAAGGATAAAGGATGTTTACTTAAAACTCATCTGGTGGTAAAGCCAGCTGAATAAACTGATGAACAGCACATTCCACCCCTACAAGCAGGGACATCTTTAAAACTAGAGCACAAGACCAACAAGTGATTGACTTTCTATTCCATTTAATTTCTCCATAGCAGCTGAAAGCAGCAGGATGTACATCCACTGAGCTGCAGGGGGTAAGAGGTGGTAGCAAAGAGGTGCTGGTAGACTAACCATCTTCTGGTGGCCAGCCTTAGCCAGGAAAGCTCCTTAGCATGGAGAGCAGTGACGAGAGTGGCAGACTCCACAGGGTTTTGAGGAGGTGAGCAGTAATGCAAATATTCTTTGTCAGAATGGTATTTTGGATGGTACATGTCTTTTCTAGCAGGGAATAGAATAAATTACTATGTTGTGGAATCCTGAGTGTAGAAATGGTTCAAAAACAAAACAAAAAAAAGAAGAGTGAGTGGGCATTAGATTGGTTCAATGATACTAAATAAATCTGCAGCGCAACCTGCTGGGAGATGTTGGCAAAAAGCATGGCCTCCCCCACCCTAGTCAGCCTACATTAACATTTCTGTCAGAGCTATTTTCTTCTGTAAATGTGTCGGCTTTCATAAGCACCAGCAGGCCCCTTTGAATTCAACCAAGCCACAGAATTCTGTCCTCCTGAATACTAATGATAATATCTAGCACTTCTTACAGTACTTTTCATCTTTAGATCTCAAAGTGCTCTTCAAAGGAAGTTAGTACCATGAATGAGAGCCTGAGTCTATGGTGCTGTGTAATTGTCTACTGACACGCTGCTGCAAAGGTCTCTGCCCAGGGTCAACTTTCTGTTCTTGATTTTTTTTGAATGAAAATGCCCCAAACAGAGCAATAAAAATGCTCCATTAGCAATGTAAAAGTTTGTAGGTAATTTGTTTTACACAAGATTACTAGCAGATAAACTGTTTTCCATGAATTCTATGATTTATTCCTCAGGGCTGGAAACAATGTTAATTGGGGAATTAATAACTAAAATGTTTGTTCTGAATAAAAACTTCAAAAATCAGAAGGAGATGAAGGGTGAGTAACCAATCTCCTGACTTTGAGACTCTCATTTCATCTCTTTCAAAATAGGAGGAGAGATTATAACAAAACATTCTTTAATAGATGAGTGTTTACCTAAGCCTGAAAATGAGTGTTCTCCAACGTCTAGGCTACCTGTTCCAGTAACTATTTGAGTTACAAAGTTTCTCAGCCTCCATTTTCCCTCTTAAGACTTGATCTCATTATTTTTTGCTCCATCTTTGACCAGGAAGAATAATCAATTGCTACCCTCTTTATAATTTCTTGTATATAGCTGTAGACAGTTAAGTCTTAATTTCTCAGGACTGAACATGACCCAGTCCTTTATCCTTTCTTGAATCACAGTGCCTCATTTCCTTCCCTCTAGCCCATGCCTTCAGTTGTTGCTTTTTCTTGTCATCGTTGGGTATTTGCCCAAAACTGTACTACCAAACATGGATTCAAAATTGCATGACAGCGTTGGCAGGGCAGAAGACTATAATTCTATTGTAGAAATTCAAGCTAAAGCAAACAGGACTTCTCCTGCTCCTCTTACCTTTACAACATGCAGCTTTCATTCCCTTTTTCTGAAAATATTCAGTCTTTATATGCCAGTATTAGATGATATGAGATGGACGTGGTCCTTTAGCTTGTGTGGGATCGCAGAAGATGTTTTACTGGTAGCAAAGTACAAAGGGCCTGAGCATTTCTTTATTTTTAGAGGCAAATACTTGGTTAATGCAACAAGCAAATGTTTTCTTAAGCATTTAGGAAAACCAGCCAGTCAGAACTGGCAGCTTTTTTTTTTTTTTTTTTCCTTTTCCTTCTTCTTTCCTTCCTTCTTCATGTTGCAGCAGTCCAAGAACTGTGGACCTTTCTGCCCTTACAGCAGTTGTACATATTAATATTAAACATTTGCATGTTCAAAGCATTTTACCCGCATTTGCTAATTAACTCCAATAGAGACCTAACCAGGGCTGACTAAATTGGAGTAATTACTTTAATGGTATTAAATATGATCCTGCTCTGAATATCAAGCTATCATGCCACATGTCTCTCTGCAGTAGCGTTCCTCAGTGTTAGATTTATCGTTAACTTCACAGAAAATGTCACTAATAAATAGTTTTATGAGTTGTGTGTGTTTATTTCTATGACCTTTTTCGGTAGTGGACAACTAATATTACACCACTGGCTCTGAAGTCCACTGGCGTGCGTAATGGGTTTATGCTTCCTCTCGTTACAACTGAGCTGAAGGATGTGAACTGTTTTATGTTGCTTCAGAAGACTGTGGTACGTTAGTACCAAATGGATAGTAACTGCACTATTACTGTGCTTGAAGCCCTAATGGCAGTTGCAACCTGAGTTCATCCTTCAAAGAAACAGTCAGCGTTTGCTCTGTAGTCTTGGTTATGTGAACTTGGAGAAGGGATCTGTGCTCAATCCTGCTAACGATTGACATTTTGAGATAGTAGTTGGCAAGGTTAAGGCTCAAATGGATTCCAAGTTACTTCCATATCCATACTGCATGGTCTAGTGAAATGAACACAGCTCAAGAGTTGATGAGTGTGTGTAGCTCCTCACTTCAGTGCACTGCAGCACCTCACTGAGAATTTATGGCAGAATTTTTCTTCTCTGTTGTAGCAGAGGTGAGGTCTGGGGACTCTTTCCTTATCTAACTGTTTAT